TCACTAATCCGGCATCATTGGACCTGTAGTGTGTCCGGATTTAGTGAGTTTGCTGAGGATACCAGAGTGGTTTAGGTTGGATTACACGTAATACACTTATCAAGAGATTTTCTGCTACATTATACTCACTTTCATCACTGCTTTCTCCTCCACGGCTTTGTGCCGCTGAGTGGATTTGATGAAACTGATTGCCGAATTAGTGATGGTTGAACCTGTATGTATGTACAGTGCTTGTCACGGCCTTATGCAGGGTGAGAATGCCGCCTGCTAATGCCGTGACGAAAATCATAGCCAACCACATTATTGCCGGTAGCAGCCATTAGCATGATGTCACGTGCCTGCTTGCCACACTTCACAGTGACTCCTCGTGCTCATGTGGCTGCCGATGTGAGAAGAAGTGAGTGTTGCACACTTTTGTCTCTCAGCCACCGCTATCTTTTGTCTGGTGTTCCCTTTGGTTTTGGGCTATATATGTTGAATTATGGGTAAAAGAAGTCTTTAATACCTGAACTATAACCCCAAATCAAAGAGCTTCACAAAGCTGGGCACCAGATGAAAAGAAACAGAGGAAAATGTTGGTGTGTGCGAGTGTTCAGTGAGGAACTGGTCCAGCAGTTCAAGCACGTGGCGGTGTCAAGATAACCATCTGCCAAACTTCAGCCTGGCCCCGGAAAAGACATCTGATGTTTGTAACCTTAACTGTGTAAAGTAAGCAAGTAGAGAGTACACCTAGGATAACTGCTAGAGAATTGAAAGAACACCCACATCTTCTCTCAGAGGTTGTCTGTAACAACTATTAACAGACGTGGTGTCAGAACTGGGCTACAGTGAGTCACCGCCAGGTTAAGAACCGATCCCTCCAAGCCACAGAGGAAACGTAGGCTGGATATTCAAGAAATATCTTCACTGGAATCCTCAACAGGGTCCTTTAGTACCATGGAGGTGATGAAGTCAACCTTCAACCGTCACACTTTTATCCATGTGTGGATGTGTACCGCCCCAGAGGTAGGTGACCCACTAAACCCACGCTACAACTGGGGACCACCAAACATCCCTCCAACTTGCTCCATGGGTTTGGGGTGTTTAAGTGCTCAGCGTTAGTAAACTCTTGTGCTTCCCAAAAACCAGTATAATTACCTGTAGTTATTTGTAACAATTTACCTGAGGCCATTTGACGGTGTGGGGCTAACGTTTTCTATGCAGGAAACCATGTCAATATTGCCAAATCTGTAGCTCACGTGCCTTAAGAACTGTGAAGTTATTTAAATGACTGGCCAGGCAAATCCTGGCAGACTATTTGGAGAACCCTGGTCATAGTGGAAACAAAAAGCTACTGGGCAAGGATATCGTTCATCCTCCATGGCTGGAGGCTGCTCTACATAGCAAACATGGAATAATTATACATTCCTAAAACCCTCAAGAATTTGTGTAGATCTTCCTACAACATGGCTGAGGGACATGATTAAGTGTAAAGGAAATAGCACCAAGTATTAAAACCTCAGTGTGCAAATATATACAGTGGACCCTTGCCTAATGCTATTAATCCGTTCCTGAGAGCTCAACATTAGGCGAAATTATCGTTAGCCAAATTAATTTTCCTCATAAGAAATAATGAAATCAATTAATCCGTTCCTGACACACCCAAAGTATGAACAAAAAAAAAATTTTTACCACATGAACTATAATTTTTAATACACACAAACTGAAGAAGACATGTACAATTACATGACACTTACCTTTATTGAAGATCTGGTGATGATTGATGGGATGGGAGGAGGGGAGAAGTGTTGTTGGTGTTAGTGTTTAGAAGGGGAATCCCCTTCCGATTAGGACTTGAGGTGGCAAGTCTTTTCCGGGGTTACGATCCTTCTTCTTTTAAAAAAAGCCACTAGGACCAGTCGTTGAGATCACAGGACCTCTGTCGCATAACATATCTGTCCATAGAGGCCTGTACCTCCCGTTCCCTTTATGACTTTCCCCTGAGGTTTACAACTTTGTCAATGTACAGGTTGCCAACACAGTTTCAATAGCTGGTGAGGTGATTTTCTTTAAAAAAAAGGGTTTGCCTTTAAGCCAATTGAAACCCCATTTCCTTAATCATTGAAGTAGAAATTTCTTCAATTTCTCTATCCCCCCCTCGGAGCATTTTCCTCAGGTGTGGGCCTTTGCTTTTGAAGTAACCAGCAGCTATCGTGGTTATTCATCTTGTCCTCCTCCACCAACTCCCCACATCCTCCCCACAAACCCTGAAACCCCCAAGGGGACTTCCCCCCAAGTGAAATGGTTTCCTAAACTGGAAGGTTTCCCCGGGGGTTAGCCTAAAAACCCTTAAAAAACCCCTTTTGTCTACACTTTTGGCCAAGTTTCTTCCAAAGCAGGTTAAAGGGCCCTTTTAGTCATTTCCTCCCAAGCCTTACCTAAAATTTTTTACAAATTGGGTGCAAAGTGATCTCCCCAAAATTTCTTAGTCAATTGAGTTTCTGGTTTACTACAAAACCTTTAAAACAAGTTTTTGTGTAGAGTTTTTTGAAGTTTGCAAGACCTTGGTCCAGGGGCTGCGGGGAGGGGATGGATTAGGGGGCAAACAGCCTTATGAAGCTCATGTCCTAGAAAGTGCCCTGCAAGTTTGAAGGAGGGGGCCGGGCATTGTCTATACAGGAGGCATTAAAATCCAATTTTTTTTCCAGGGGGTAATTTTTACATTGGGGGCAAATGCTGGTGTAACCCTCATAGAAAAAAAATCCCTGTACCCATCCTTACTGTTTGCCCCCACGCACACAAAATTAGCCTTGAGGACATTGTTTTTCCTGAACACACTGGGAGTTTCAGAGTGATATACCAAATTAAAGGTTTCATTTTTGCAATCACCACTAGCATAGCACACATCAACAGAGTAAACCTGTCTTTCATAGGCTTATGTCCTGGGAGTGCCTTTTCCTCCTGAGTAATGTAGGTCCTGCTTGGCATTTTCTTCCAAAACAGGCCTGTTTCATCACAATTAAACACTTGTTCAGGTTTCAGTCCTTCACTGTCTGTACTCTTGAATTCCTGCACATATTTTTCAGCTGCTTTTTGGTCCGAACTGGCAGCCTCACCATGCCTTATCACACTGTATGCCACTACGATTCTTAAATCTCTCGAACCAACCTTTGCTGGCCATAAATTCACTCACATCACCACTAGTTGCAGGCATTTTTCTAATAAAACCCTCATGCAACTTCCTAGCCTTTTCACATATGATCACTTGAGAGATGCTATCTCCTACTATCTGTTTTTCGTTTATCCACACCAATAACAGTCTCTCAACATCATCTATCACTTGCGATCTCTGTTTCAAAAACATAGTTGCACCTTTGGCAAGAACAGCTTCCTTGATTGCCATTTTCTTGGCCACAATAGTAGCGATGGTTGATTGGGGTTTTGTGTACAACCTGGACAGCTCGGAGACACGCACTCCACTTAGCAATGATCTCTTTCTTCATATCCATAGTAATTCTCACCCTTTTTCCTGTAGTGTTGACACTAGAAGTTTTCTTGGGGCCCATGGTGACTTATTTTGCAGGTGCAATCACTAAAAAGGCTGTGATAATATGAAATGTTCCGATTGTATGCTTGGAAGCGACCGCGGTGGCTGGCTTGTAAACACTGGCACCCACGGAACAAGTGAGGTGGGCTCAGGCCGCACGTGGACGCGTCTTGAACGAATCGCGTTGAGCGAGTTTTTTAGCGCTAGCCGAGGCAAAATTTTTGCGTTAAAATGTATAGCTAGGCAGATTTAACGTTATGCAATGCGTTCGTTAGGCGAGGGTCCACTGTATATTGTAGTCTTTCATGGTATGTGTTCGTATTTTGGTATGTGTGTGGGAGAGGGGCGGCATAATGCTGTGATGAGCACCCTATATGTATGTATGAATATGTATGTTTGTATATACAGTGGAACCTCGGCTTACGAATCTAATCCATTTTGTAACCATGTTCATATCCTGATTTGTTTGTATGCCAAGTCAATTTTCCTCATTTAAAAATTTAAATTTAAATGCAATTAATCCGTTCCAGTCTTTCAGGGCATGACAAAAAAGTGCTAATATCTACACTACGGCTATTTACCATCACAATTCATTCTAAAATAACATTAAACAAAATTTAAAACATGAAGCATATATACACTACCAAACTGACTTTCGACCCGCTCGACTTGCGACCACGACTTATGCCGTGTTTTTTTTTTTTTTTTTTTTTTTTTTTTTTTTT